TATAAATTTTTATTTCAGATTCAATTAAAATAAAATATAAAATATAAAATTAAATTAAAATATAATATTTGTATTCAAAATTTTAAAAAGGATATGAACCTAATGTGAAAATTTATACAAAATTAATTACAAATTCTATAATTAATTACAAATTCTATAATTAATAAAGTCTAACCTCTACCCCTTAAACCCTTCTTTTATTTGTTGATTAATACCGGCGACACAAACTTCAACATCAAAAAATACTAATTGCTTTTAATTTGTTGCTTTTATATGTTTTAAGACTATAACAATAGTGGATTAAGAATCAATCAATACATTCACCTAATTTATGTTGCACAATACCTGTATTTTTTCCTTTTTACATTCTGAGTAATTTCTTTACACCTACATATCTAACATTGGTGATTTCTTTGTGGGTGGTTTTTTTAATTACAAATATTGTTTTAAAATCCACTTCACTTATACATGGTGGAATAGAGGACAAGAGTCATGTAGTGTTGGTAACTCAAACAAACTTTTATGCTTCACGTAAATAAAAGGAAATAACCTTCAAAATAAAGATACACAACTAGATAATTATTGTTCTTAATTTTTCATGATTAAAAAATCAAGTGTAAATTTGAAGGTTAAAAGTTTATGATTTTGGAAATAAGATTTTAATACAACGATTATGTTTTTATTTCTTAATGATATAGTTAGTCTTACATGTTTTCATATTTATTCTTTGAAACAAGTTTATGGTGGAATATGTGCCTTCCTTTTCTGCTGGACCCAATATCATGGCCTTATTGTCTTTCCTTAACAAAAGATTAAAATTCCATTTTCAATGGTCCCACCCAAGCATTCTTAGATTTTGCAAGTCTAAGACTTTGCATTTAATGGCAAAGTTTCCTTGTATAGAGACTTTCCAAACCACAGATTTGAAATTTGTCATAAAGTTCCAAAATTGGATTTTAAGTTTTAAGGACTGTTTGGTATAATGATTTTGGGTAGTGGTTAACGGTTATATTTAAAATTATTAAAAATAGATGTTCGGTAAATTTATATATTTTGAAATTGCTACAAATAAAGTGTTTGATAAAAATTTTTATTTAATAGTTTGGGAAAAGCAAATAGTGGCTAAAAGTCTAAACCATTAGTAGATTGAAAAAACTAGTTTATATAACTTTTTTGTATTAAATCGCTAGTAGATAAAAATTTTTTAATTTTATTGACAAATTTATCCATTTTAATTTTTTTATTTTTGGCCACAGTTTTTAATTAATATTTATCTAATAAGTTTCAATTTTTTTTGTTTACCTTTAATAACATTAAGTGATTATTATATTTTAATTTATCATAAAAAATATATTATCTTAATAAACAAAATTTACTAATTAGACAAAATGATTAATTTTCTATTTAAAAATAATAAATTTTTTTGTTAAAAATGAAAAATGAGGATGTAATTACATTATTATAATTAATTTTATTTATTTTTTATTTTTTTATAAAATTAATAATTTTAATAATAAAAAATAAAAATATTTTAAAAAATACACTTAATTGTTTTTAAATATATCTTGATTAGTCATTTAATATTAAACAACAACAACTAATTATTATATAGCCAAACAATTACATCCATCAATTTACTATTTACTATCTGCTATCCGTCATCTATTATTCACTAACTGCTATTCACTATCTGCTACCTACTATTTGTTATCTGCTAAATTTTAACTGCTATACCAAACAGCCCCTAAAACATTTTCAATCAACAACCTTCACAGCTTATATAAGAGATTTGAAAAGTTTCATAAGTTACAAAACCCCCAAAGTTGATCATATAAGTTTCAGAACTCTTCATATTGTTTTACAACATTTTTGTTCATTGACCTTTTTCATTTTTTTCTTTTTTTGGTATGGACCACTCGGTATCCGAAAGTCCATTAGGCCACCGACTAATATGGATTCGAGTCGGGTAGGACTCAAAGGGCGGTAAAACTCTTCCTCATGAGTTTTAACGGAATTGCATTCCCAGAACTTGAAACCAAAATCTTTGGTTAAGTTGGAAGAGTCCCCTACCAACTTATCCACCCGCTCGTGGGTATTGACCTTCTTCATGAATGTTGGGAAGTCATGAAGTTCCAAAACATATCAACAAGTTCTAGAATCTTCAATGAAATCTTTAAAATGAATGAAATTGAAGACTTTTTTTTTAAGCTATAACAAGCATGAGGTTTAATAAGACTTCTTGAGAAGGCAGCACCAAACGTATGGAACCCTAGTGCATACTTGTGAAAAGCTTTCAATCTTTCAACATTGTTCTAGTGCTTCATATTTCTTACTTGATCGATTAAGTTATCAATTGTGCTTGTTTCTTTTTCATTACAAAAGTGAGAGAGTATTAGGGAATCCTTGTTAAATCTAGGTAACCATCCTTGTGGTTAGGATTGGATTTGTGAAGATTATAATAAGGAGTTGGGTTGTTGAAGGTAGATGGTACTGACAAAGCTATATTGAGAATAGTAGCCTTTACACCTACAAGTTGGAGAAGAGTGTTAGCAAGCAGATTGAAGAGTGAACTATGCACAAATTGTGATCAAAACACTATAAATCTTCATGTTTGGGCTTTCTCTTCCCTTACTCTTTTAATTTTCACACTTTAGTTCGTTTGTTTGTTATTGTATTTGCTTATTTATTGATTTAAACAAAAGAATTACAAAAGTGTTCAAAAATTCAATTCACGCCCCTCCCTAGTTTGCTATCGTTTGGGCCAACAATAATGATATTTTTTTCCAAAAATAAAACTTTGTAAATTCGAAAGTT